GCCGCTTCTACACAACCGAAATCATGATGACGTCATCATTCGAAAGGACGCCCCTAGTGACAGGCAAAAGAAACGTGCTTTTTGAATTTGAAAAGCCGCTTTTCCCTAAATTTCGCTCTGATTGCCCAGAAACATTCTTTGCACATACACACAAAACATTGGAATGTTCTTTGGGAAGAGTTCCTCAGAACGGAAGTAACTTTTTTTGGAATTCGAAAAAGATCATCTTTTTCTCGTTCGCCTGATAGAGGATTCTTTTCTTTTTTATTCTTTGGTTCTCATTTCTGAAAGACCCTATTTTGGGCTCGCGATTTGAGGAAAAAAAAACCCGCATTTTGTTTTATTACCGCCTACTAGCCCTGTCTGGAACCCCACTTACAAAAAAAAAAAAATTAAAGAACAAAAACTGGACATAACATTCAGACAATCAGGTTCTGTGTTATTTGAAATCTATGCAAGATAATAAATTATCCGAATTCGACTAGAAACACGGCGTGCAGCAATCAATGTAATCCCAGAAGAAGATGCGAGGGTGTTGTGTCTCATATCAGGCATCTATAGTTTACCTTTTGTGTTATGCAACAGCCAAAACGTCAGTGAGCTGCATGCTGCTGATATGCAAGTTAATATATACAGGCCTATATATTTTGCCAAAGATGGTTTCATGAGGAGCTCACGATATTCTCATTACAATCAACGAAAAGACAATACGCACTTGGCACCATTTAATTTAGTCATCTAAACTGGTGCAACTGCAATGCTTTTCACAATGCTATCACATCATCAATTCGGAACATAAATGTCAAAATATAAACAAAATGTTGGTGTAATATTTTTTCCCTTTCCCCCCTTGTTCTACTGCCTTTGCTCATATGAAAATAAATGCCTGAACTGGGACATCTAAATGTTCATTTTGTTTTATTAATCAGATATCTCTAGAAAATAGGCAGAATATCTAGTTTTCTAATTATACAAGCTAACCATGAACCATTCTTTCGTTAAATAGGAACAGAATTTATTATGCCCATGCATAGACAAAAAAGCCATCAACCATTTATTTTTAGATATTATCTAAGCATATGTTGCATAAACTCCAGGGACGTCAGAGGCTCCGTCAAAAGCCATATTGAAGTCTACCGATACTGATTCTATTTTCGAGTGGGCATGTGCAGCGCCTGAATTGCGCTTCAACACGCTAGACCATGCCTGACACGTGTAAACCTCCCTTGGTAGAGGCTGCAACAAGGTTCAAATAAAGTTAAAGGCTACCAAATACTTGTTTTCGCTTAACCGGTCACCACCTGCTCACCATTTAAGAATTGTTCAAGTTTTCTCTCTTTGTTTTCTTATCTGGACAGTATTTAATTCACCGTCAATCTTCTTCATATACTGAGGTTTATATGCATATTACAATGATGCCTGCGATTACATCATCAGTATCAAATTACAAGCGATTTTAGTTAAAGAATGACCACGTTCTTTTACTATTATGTAGGCCTACCTACATTTGCTAAGAGCATATAAACTGCGCCGTTTGTGATTCTTACACGGTTGACAAACCCTCGGACGGAACCTCTTGGCTCCTTAGATATCAGCAAGATTTGGTGCCAGTTCTTCTTTCTGCGATCTTTGTCTGTCGTTTTCGTTCTAGATAATTATTATCCGAAACTGTTTTTTTTCAATAGGAAAACACATGAACTGAAACTCGGGGTGAACATGAACCCTGATTCCAAAATGAACATACTACAAGTGCGACCTTTACTTTCGGGGTTTCTGGAACTGCTATGATCAATTAATTGAACTGGGGAGGGGAGTATGTTACTATAATAAAACAAAATTGGCCGCTTTTACACAACCGAAATCATGATGACGTCATCATTCGAAAGGATGCCCCTAGTGACAAGCAAAAGAAACGTGCTTTTTGAATTTGAAAAGCCGCATTTCCTAAAATTCCGCTCTGATTGCCCAGAAACATTCTTTGCACATACACACAAAACATTAGAATGTTCTAGATGAAGAGTTGCTCAGAACGGAAGTAAGTTTTTTAGAATTCGAAAAAGATCATCTTTTTCTCGTTCGCCTGATAGAGGATTCTTTTCTTTTCTATTCTTTTGTTCTCATTTCTGAAAGACCCTATTTTGGGCTCGCGACTTGAGGGAAAAAACCCGCATTTTGTTTTATTTCCGCCTACGAGCCCTGTCTGGAACTCCACTTACAAAAAAAATTAAATTAAAGAACAAAAACTGGACATAACATTCAGACAACCAGGTTCTGTGTTATTTGAAATCCATGGAAGATAATCAATTATCCCAATTCGACTAGAAACACGGCGTGCAGCAATCAATGTAATCCCAGAAGAAGATGCGAGGGTGTTGTGTCTCATATCAGGCATCTATAGTTTACCTTTTGTGTTAAGAAACAGCCAAAACGTCAGTGAGCTGCATGCTGCTGATATAATGCAAGTTAATATATACAGATCTATATATTTTGCCAAAGACGGTTTGATGAGGAGCTCACAATATTCTCACTGCAATCAACGAAATAGACAATACGCACTTGACACCATTTAATTTAGTCATCTAAACTGGTGCAACTGCAATGCTTTTCACAATGCTATCACATCATCAATTGGGAAGATAAATGTCAATCAAACTATAAACAAAATGTTGGTGTAATATTTTTCCCCTTTCCCCCCTTGTTCTACTGCCTTTGCTCATATGAAAATAAATGCCTGAACTGGGATATCTGAATGTTCGTTTTGTTTTATTAAACAGATATCTCTAGAAAATAGGCAGAATATCTAGTTTTCTAATTATACAGGCTAACCATGAACCATTCTTTCGTTAGTTAGGAACAGAATTTATTATGCCCATGCAAAGACAAAAAAGCCATGCGTCATTTTTTTTTCCATTTCGGAACACAGTTGTTAAGATCCAGCTGTGTCTGTGACGGAGATTTTGTCGTCTATGGTTATTCCAATATTTCGATACTGAGGCTTGGACCTCAAGCAGAGCAGATATTTAGCTTATCCATGCCGCAAGGTACACAATGCAACATCATCAAACTGTTCGTGTCTAAAGGGATAGGTTCAGTCATCGTTACTTTAGATACAAGAATTATTCGAAATAAAATATTTTACTTCTGCCTTTCTGCCTCTGACATCATAATGCAAAAACAAAAACCATATTTTGTACAGTCTGGCCAAGAACCAAGAACCATTCTTTAGTTAGCTGAGAGCAGAATTTTATTATGCCCCTGCAGAGACAAAAATTCGTAAAACATTTATTTTTAGACAAGCATATGTTTCATAAACTCAAAGGACGTTAGAGGCTCCGTCAATTTCCATATTGAAGTCTATCGATACCGATTTTATTTTTAAATAGCTATTTGCAGCACAAGAATGCGCTTCGAAACGTTGGACCATGTCTGCCACGTATAAACCTCCATTGGTTAAGGCAGTAACAAAGTTCAAATAAAGAAAACAGCTACCTACGTGTCACCAAATTTCATAAATTTGATCCTGAATAACTCTGTTGTTTACCAATGGATTTAAACCACAATTCCAGATTATGGCATGACAAATTATGAAGCGAGTTTCATCAGGTTTGTGCAAGAGGGTGAGATTTAAACGCCGTACTAAAAAAAACCCTCACTTTCAGAATGACGATACAGCGCTGGAGGCGGTGTTGGATTCGGGAGAGCGCGTGAAGCGGCCGGAAGCTTCTGAAGGAATGCAGGGTCAACCCTAATGTCATTGCACATCTCCTCGATCGTGTGTTGCGCCAACAATCGAGGAGGTTTTCAATGACATCAGGAATGATTCTGCTTTCCTTCAAAAGCTTCCGGCCGCAGCACGCGCCTTCGGCCACCGTCCCAAGCGCTGTGTCGACATAGGAGGTGGCCAAGTCGAAAGTGGCAGATTCTGAAAATGTGTATATGTTTTCGTATGGCGTTTAAATCTCATCCTCTTGCACAGAGCTGATGAAATTCGCATAACTACATTTGTCATACTTTTTTTTAATATTCCAAAATTTTGGTTTATTTCATTGGTAAACAACATAGTTATTTAGGATCAAAAGTAGGACATTTTTCAGCTGCGTGGCTGGTCACCACCTGCTCACCGTTTTAGAATTGTTCGAGTTTTAATTTCTTTCTTTCCTTTTCCTTAAAATAATTCTCTTCAAAATATTCACAGCTGCTTGAACTTGAAGCATCAACCCTGATAACAGACTTTACAGTAGTGTGCATATTAACAAAATACACGACGACATGAACAGTATCAAGTTACAAGTAATTTTAGTTAAAAAATGGCCAAGTTTCAACTATGAACACAATTAGCAATCACCTTCGTACATTATGTCTGATAGACCATACCTTGATAAGATCAAGTTGCGTGAGCTTTCCTTGAAATTCCGGGTTGATATCAGAATGTTAAGCTATAGTAGGGTGTATTCAAAATGCAGACAGAACACTTCAAATTAAAACAAACCCCATTTTCTCCGAAACGGGTCAAGGCTGAGATGTAGATAAAACCTGGCATAAACATAAACTCCTGACCGAAAGCGTCCACAATTTACTTTTATTATTTGCTTCACCTTTTTTTCATCCATTTTGACAGTTTATCGACACCTGTTGCAAGGTTTACATCCTTCAAACTGCCAGAATAAAGACCGAATTTAAAAATAGGACCTCACGCACCCCCCTTTCCCCCGTTCTGTCATGTTTTACCAATGATATTTATTTCTTACATCCGATAATCGCCTGTGCGCATGCGTGTGTTAGTTCTATTGTATGGCTCCACGAGCGAACTTCTTTTTCTGAGGGGGGGGGGGGGTTGTTTTCCCCTTCTTTGCGTTTATGATGTGCATGATGTGTTCAAACATGAGAAACGCCACTAGAGTTACATGGTCTTTAATTTAAACGTCTGTATAGATGTACGTGTTTCAGCATAGCTGTAGATGACTCTTCTCTGACACTTGAACCCAGCCACTTTATACAAAGAAGTGTTCTCGGCGCTGTTGTGGCGCATTCGTTCAGTAGACATCAAGTTGAAAGCATCCAGTGCATTTCCGCCTCCTGACTTTGCTTTGGTTTCAAGTTTCGTTTCAACCTAAAATGTAAGCTTGGGATAAACGTGGCCAGATTTGATATGTCAGTTGCCTTTGAAAGTAAAAAAGTCCTGGTAATTGAATGTTTTCATTTTTAACGATGATTTGTCACGAATATACACGTTGATATGACAATGCGACAATTTCATGAAAAGTACAAATCGCGCAACAGCCGAATTAATCTACGTGTGTCTGTGTGCGTGTGTGTGTGGGTGGGTGGGTGGGTGGGTGTGGGTGTGTGTGTGTGGAGGGGGGGGGGGGGGTTACAACCATATCATTGCAAGTATCTTACTGTCATTCGTTTTCTCCCTCACTTTGTAGATCAGCCAGAATGAAGGTTTACATGTGCCTGCTTCTCCTGATGGTCGTTGGATGTGCCTTGTGTTTTGCAGAGAGTAAGTACCGTATATTTGTTTCATGTTCCAGAATATCCCGATATATTTGTTCAATGTTCCATTATCCCTACCGTTCCGACATAGAAGTATTCTTATAAGTTTTTACCACATTCGCACAGCCCTTTGGGCATGTCGTACATATGTCATGCTTGGAGTAAATATAGTTTGATTCGAGTTTTGATAATTATGATAGTCTATACGCACATTAAAATGAACGTTTAAGTTTCCATAATAGAGGAGAAAACACGTTTGACTGATTCTCCCCCTAAACGTACGAAACTTGCATGTTCCAAGCCTTATTTATTAGTGTTAAAAAAATGTTCGGTGTCTCTACAAATGTTCAACGCTATGAAACTTCAACTCTTAATTTCTTTTTATTCAATATCTGTGCAGATGCAATTCATGAATTCAGCACCAATAACATTGTTAATGTCTTGCAGAATTTCTTGCCGAGAAGTTGATGCAAGACCTGGAATCTCGCGGAATAGTGAAGAAGGGGAAGTGTAAGTTCTGTGGTCTTTCATAATAAGTTTGTAATAATAACTTGACAAAGGTTGGCACTTAACGACATGAATCAAAACTTAGGCACAATATTATTGCTCACATGCGTTTGGGTTGCAATTGCATGCTGTCCCGGAGAATGCCGTTGTTTTTGTTGGAAATGTCAACGAAGTTTTGTTCATGTTCATGCAGAACATTTTTTCATCAAGAACATTTTGCGTTTGTTCTACCACGGACCCTACACACAAGGATTAACGACTCTGCCAAACGCCTGGTTAGACGCGTGATAACGGCCCATACAGGTGGAAAATACCATGAATACTTGTCAACAAAGACCCCTGCGCGCGGCGGCTCTCAGATTTGCAGGGCTCTGCGCCCGATTTGGTGTCGTAGTCTGTCAAGCCAGCTAATCATATTTTTGAATATTCATGATTCTGCGTTTTTTGTCTTTATTATTGAATTCTGATAAGTGATAACGTAACCATGTTAACGCCGAGCAACAATATCTTTAGCTTTAAAATGAACTATGAAATGTCGCTTTTATTTCATCGGGTCGGGACCACATCCTTAAATAATTTTTTAAATGAAAGCCTCTTTAAAAAACGGAATTCGGGTAAACGGTGTTCTCCTCGAAATTTGACGGGGTTTTTTTTTCCGGGTAAATACTTCATCTATGGCGACAAAAACTGCACAATACCATCTGTTATATCCTGAAGCATTTATTTTTAACAATTTTGCAACAAATATATCTTAAGGAGTAGTTTTGCTTACAGTTTCATGAATATTTCCGTTTTAGATGTCATGCAAAATAACCGACAAAATGGCACACCTTTGCAATTTGCGATTACAAGCCAAAGGGTATTAATGCCTATTATCATGCGTCTAACCAATTAAGGCAAGTCCGCTCAGTGCATTTTGTACTAGAGCTCAGAATAGTCGTTTATCCTTGTGTGTAGGATCCGTGGTTCTACTTCGTTTATAGGCAATCAATTGTTACCGTCAAATGGTTCATTTATAAATATCAACATTGATTATTCACACACTGAGTGTACAATTCTCCTTTCAATGAGCGTTGTTCTTGGCGTTTGCTGCTTGTTAGATCAGTTTTATTCTGTTTGCCTTAATTTAAAAAAAAATAAACAATCGTTTGCATTGTTTTGAATCGGAAGACAGTAAAACAAAAAATCTGAAAATCAAAAAGTGAATCTAATGAAACTTCAATGGAAATGAAAACAAGATGTTTTGTTGTTAATTTGCGTTGTTAATCTTTGAACGGGCCCGTTTATTATTGGCTTTTCCGCTTGAAAAGCGTTTTCTCCCCCAATGCAATAGACTTTGTACATATTTAATTCAGCCTAGTTTTGGTTAATTTCTGTTCACTCCGAACATGTTGAAATCTGAAAGCAAATAGCTAAATTAGACTAAATGTATTAATTTTCAAATAAAACTGGTTGAATAAGACGGGTTTTAAATTGAACGACCTTTTTTTTTTGGGGGGGGGGGGGTTAAAATTTGCCGAAATCCGATATTCCATAGTTATATCTTTCCAAGATCATAATTCTGAGAAATAGCGATATCTGAAATTTGGAACTAGTCCCTACGGAACTCCAGAGGTGCCATCCTAGATGTTGAGATCCTGTCATAATTTATCACGGGATGACAACATCGTACACGTAAAATTTTAAGAGGGATGCCAACATCCTCGGATAGATCTATCACGGGTAGCACAATCCTGAAAGTAGAATCCCGACATCGTTTGACAATAATATCACGGGATGACGACATCCTGAAAGTAGGGTGTCGACATCCCCAGATACCTTCCAATGCTTTTTAGTGGAGTTATGGGAAAGCAATCCTTCTTTCAGGATGTCGTCATCTCGTGATAAATGTTCTCAGGTTCTCGACATCCTATTCTTTTGGGATGTCTTCATCCCTAGATACATTATCTGAGGATGTCGACATCCTATTTTTACGATGTCGTCATCTCGTGATAAAACATCTCAGGACGTTGACAAAAAAATACGCGTAGGATGTCGTCATCCCGTGAAAGGTTATCACATCATCTCAATATCTTGAATGGCACCTCCAGAGCCATGTAAGTCCCTTTTCTTTGTGGTATAAAAAGAAATAGTTGCAGGCTTTTACTTTATGGTAATTTATCCTGGATGCCTGTAAACATTAAACATGGACAGTCTCTTTAAAGCCTCCTTCAACAGATCATCCACACAAATATTTCTCTACTAGTCATTCACTTTCATGTTGGTTTCTGTTTCAGCTTGCACAACTCAGGCCGAATGTGGTTTTCCACAGTATTATTGTGCTAAACGTGTCCGTTTCTCTCCGGGCGTTTGCAGAGAGCTCATTGGTAAAAGACGCTAGGAATTCTGAAAATCAACATGAATGAATTAAACCATGGTAAGCCCATCGTTATCAATTGATGAACTTTTCCCATCTTTTCTCTAAAGTAGGTCTAGCGTTGCAAAACCTCTCTCTTTACGAAATGCTAGTGTCTAAACGTTTGGTCCTCGTAAGTCCATCATCAGTCCTTGAAGAAATCATGGTGTTTTTTCTTTTATTATCTCCATGCAGATCGTCAGTGGTTAACCGACAGCAAGGCTTTATTCTGATTCAATAAGATTTGACATTAATTCATTTTTCTTCTTTCCTGGTAAGATTGTCTCATTTTTGTTAACAATACTGGGTCGGTGTTCCAGCCAGTTTTTTCCATTGATTCCGTGACAGTGCTGTGCACTTGTAAAGGCTGCTCACTCTGAATTTAAAAAGCACTTTTGAAATCAAAATGAAACAAAAAATATAGGTAATCGATCCGTGAATACTGACATATATTAAACGATCGGCACATTTGATTTTTTTTTTACAGAACGCATACAAATCTTAAAGATAAATTCTTCTCATCATGTAAATGGCACGAAAAGTGAGCTCGAATACGGACTTAATTATTATTTCCTCTGTTTGGTGTATTAAAACAATATACGTTTGTTTCTGTCTGTAATAATTTTGTTCTTGTGCTTTTGGGGTATCGGTGTTGCGTGGTTATCATTATCCGTGATGATGGGTAAAATCCACTTTTAAAATATCCATTAATATTCTTCCTGCTTGTATCGTGTAAGCAGGACTGGGATATGGAAACGTTTGCATCCAAGGATTTTTTTTTGTGGAAAGGGCGGAACACAAGCCCAGAAAAAACATAAGAAGGTTACTTTCTAAATTGGCACACTTCTTTGTCGTGATTTCAAATCCAAAAGACACTGAGGGTTAGCCACAAATGTTTCAGCTTTAAGGTTAGATTGGAATACTCGTTTATGTAATGTTTTTGGTCTTCTTGGTATTTTGGGTATTACATTGGTGCATGGTTATCATTATCCGTGATAATGGGTAAAATCCAATTTTATTTTACGCGCCAACTGTCACAACTCTAGATGGGGCCATTACCGTAAAGTTCAAGGGTGCACACAAGCTAAACTGGTTCTATAATACAGGAAGATGTTCACATGCGATCTTATTTTTCTCGCTGTTGACTAATAAAGTCATACTATTCCTTTAAAAATGATTGTTGCCTTATCTTTTAAAACCTGCCATTTTGTTGTGTAAAATACTCAGCCATAAATTATGTACATCTTTGTTACAAAACACAGATAGGCTGTCCTTGATGGAATTTATTCTCATAACAGGTGTTTGTTCACTGTAAAAGAAGATCCAATTCTTCAAACAGGACTTTGAAATCATTCGTTATTAATTGAACGTATGCTATCTCTTATCCCTTTTCATCCTTCGATGCTTTCTCTTTTGTAAACGTACTGTGAATGATACAGCTTCTTGGCAAAATAAATTGACTCTTGCACGCAAAATAATTTATCAGTGTCCATGAATGAATTCTCTAGACGTCTGTCTGTCATACTCATCCATGTTATTTGATTGCGTTTTCAAAACCCCGGCCTCGTTTCTTCCATACTTGAAAACAAGTAGAAACAAAATTGGTCATGAACAAGTAAAAGGGACGCCCTCTTTGTACACAATCCGTGTGTGGAGTCCTGTGTGCAATATTTGTCATTGTATCATGACTTTCACCTAGTAAAGAAGTGCGTCTGATTTTGAGGATGTGCGAGCCTTTGCCGTCATTATACCGGTTCAAAGCCTAGATATAATAGTATGGTGTTCCCTTGGGTTGGGAAAGCAATGGGAAGCTCAAACAATAGCAGGCCATGCTTTGAGAGAATGAGAACACGTTTCCTACAGAAAAAAAAAATATATATCACGTTTATCATAACAAATTCACGTGAAGCAACGTCCCAGTCCATTTTCTGATTGATGGTAATCGTACCTCAGTTTTCCTCTCATATTTTAATGCAGAAAAGTAATGCTCCGAACGGTGTAGCCATCATTCTTTCCTTAGCTCAGTGCAGCATTTTATTTTCCCCATGTTAAGACAGAAAAGCAATCAAACATTTATTTTTCGATTTATAAACACATGTTGATGTCTCTTCTGATGTCCATCGATTCTCATGATAACGTTTTTGAGTCTGAGCTATAAAGTGGCATAGCAAGCGGTAGGGGGAGGGTAAGGGGGTATCCCCCGCCCCCAATATTTTGTAACGGGTGCCCCTTTTTCACGAGTGCCGGGTTTTCTTTCACGAGCGCCTTTTTTTCAGTGAGTGCCTATAATTTTTCGAACGACGGCAATTGTTCAATCACGAAAAGCCCAACCTATTGTCCAATGGCGCCCATGATCGTCCTCTTTGAACAGCGCCCGCGAAAGGAGATGGCGTCCAAACAATATTTGCGTACTAGTGCTGTGTGTTAATACACATGTTAGAATGTTTAGCATATGTTGCATAGACTGTATGGACGTTAGAGGCTCCGTCAAACTCCATATTGAAGTCTATACATGTAACTACTGATTAATTTTTTGTGTGAGAAGCTATATAGTGCAACACCAGAAATGCGCTTAAAAAAGTTAGACCATGTTTGTCACGTATAAAATTCATCGGCGCATAGCCGACGCAGCAACAAGTTCAAACACAGTAAACAGCTACCAAACACTTGTTTTCACGTGACTGGTCACCACTAGCTCTCCGTTCTAGAATTGTTCGAATTTTAATTTCTGTCTTTCTTTCTTTCCTTTTCCGGACAATAATTCAATGCGAAGATTCTTCAAAAGTTGTCACAGCTGCTTGAACGTGAAACTTCAACCCTGATATACCGAGGTGTGCATATTACACTGATACACGGTGACATCATCAGTATCAAATTACCTTTTGTTTTAAATATATATATATTTCATTTTTTTTTTTTTTTAACTTTTACTGCCTTGGCTCATATGAAAATAAATGCCGGAAGTGGGCCATGGGACATCTAACTTTGATTTGTTTTTATTAATCAGATATCTTTAGAAAATAGGCAGAATATCCGGTGAGGCGTTATAAAAAAGAAATACTGTTTCGACTTGGGGTACTCATTTTCAGGGTGCGTTCAATTTTCCGAAATAGAAGCCCAATCTTAATGGGATCACCTCCAAAGAATAGTTTTGTATGAAATCACACAAAACATTCACTGACATCCCAAATCCATTATCTTATTTCTATATCTCTTTTCCCGTCTTAATTGATTGAAATCATACCTTACCAATTTTCCTTTCACATCCGATGCAAAATTAAAAATTATATTTTCTACAGTCCAGCCATGAACTACTCTTTCGTTATAGCTAAAGAGCAGAATTTTATTATTCCCAGGCAAAAACAAAAGAGCCATAAACCATTTATTTTTAGATATTATCTAAGCATATGTTGCATAAACTCCAGGGACGTCAGAGGCTCCGTCAAAAGCCATATTGAAGTCTACCGATACTGATTCTATTTTCGAGTAGGCATGTGCAGCGCCTGAATTGCGCTTCAACACATTAGACCATGACATTGTCTGCCACGTGTAAACCTCCATTGGTAGAGGCTGCAACAAGGTCAAATAAAGTTAAAAGCTACCAAATACTTGTTTTTGCTTAGCCGGTCACCACCTGCTCACCATTTAAGAATTGTTCAAGTTTTCTCTCTTTGTTTTCTGATCCGGACAGTATTAAATTCACCGCCAATCTTCTTCATATACTGAGGTGTATATGCATATTACAATGATGTCTGCGATGACATCATCAGTATCAAATTACAAGCGATTTTAGATAAAGAATGACCACGTTCTTTTACTATTATGTAGGCCTACCTACATTTGCTAAGAGCATATAAACTGCGACGTTTGTGATTCTTACACGGTTGACCAACCCTCGGACGGAACCTCTTGGCTCCTTAGATATCAGCAAGATTTGGTGCCAGTTCTTCTTTCTGCGATCTTTGTCTGTCGTTTCCGTTCTAGATAATAATTATCCACAACTGTTCTTTTAATAGGAAAACACATGAACTGAAACTCGGTGTGAACATGAACCCTGATTCCAAAATGAACATACTACAAGTGCGACCTTTACTTTCGGGGTTTGTGGAACTGCTATGATAAATGAATTGAACTTGGGTAGGGGAGCATGTTACTACAATAAAAAAAAATGTGGCCGCTTTTACACAAACGAAATCATGATGACGTCATCATTCGAAAGGACGCCCCTAGTGAAAAGCAAATGAAACGTGGTTTTGAATTTGAAAAGCCGCATTTTCCAAAATTTCGCTCTGATTGCCCAGAAACATTTTTTGCACATACACACAAAACATTAGAATGTTCTAGATGAAGATTTCTTCAGAACGGAAGTAACTTTTTAAGAATTCGAAAAAGATCATCTTTTTCTCGTTCGCCTGATAGAAGATTCTTTTCTTTTTCATTCTTTTGTCCTCATTTCTGAAAGACCCTATTTTGGGCTCGCGACTTGAGGAAAAAAAACCGCATTTTGTTTTATTACCGCCTACGAGCCCTGTCTGGAACCCCACTTACAAACAAAAATTAAATTAAAGAACAAAAACTGGACATAACTTTCAGACAATCAGGTTCTGTGTTATTTGAAATCTATGCAAGATAATAAATTATCCGAATTCGACTAGAAACACGGCGTGCAGCAATCAATGTAATCCCAGAAGAAGATGCGAGGGTGTTGTGTCTCATATCAGGCATCTATAGTTTACCTTTTTTGTTAAGCAACAGCCAAAACGTCAGTGAGCTGCATGCTGCTGATATAATGCAAGTTAATATATATAGGCCTGAGGAGTTCATGATATTCTCATTGCAATCAACGAAGTAGACAATACGCACTTGGCACCATTTAATTTAGTCATCTAAACTGGTGCAACTGCAATGCTTTTCACAATGCTATCACATCATCAATTGGGAAGATAAATGTCAATCAAAATATAAAAAAAATGTTGGTGTAATATTTTTCCCCTTTCCCCCCTTGTTCTACTGCCTTTGCTCATGTGAAAATAAATGCCTGAACTGGGACATCTAAATGTTTATTTTGTTTTATTAATCAGATATCTCTAGAAAATAGGCAGAATATCTAGTTTTCTAATTATACAGGCTAACCATGAACCATTCTTTCGTTAGATAGGAACAGAATTTATTATGCCCATGCAAAGACAAAAAAGCCATACATCATTTTTTTTCCATTTCGGAACACAGTTGTTCAGATCCGGCTGTGTCTGTGACGGAGATTTTGTCGTCTATGGTTATTCCAATATTTCGATACTGAGGCTTGGACCTCAAGCAGAGCAGATATTTAGCTTATCCATGCCGCAAGGTACACACTCCAACATCATCAAACTGTTCGTGTCTAAAGGGATAGGTTTAGTCATCGTTACTTTAGATACAAGAATTATTCGAAACAAAATATTTTACTTCTGCCTTTGCTCATATGAAAATGTATTCCCCAACGGAGACATTTGGACTTGATTTTGTTTAATTAATCGGAAATCTAAAATAGGCAGAATATAAACAGTCTTGGGGTACAGAGTAAGTTTTTTTCAGGGTGCGTTCAATTTCCAAAATAGAACCGCAATCTCTTTGTGATTACCTCGGAATGCTAGTGCTTGTATTATATCGCACAAAACATTAACCAACGTTCTAATCTATTATCTTATTTCTATTCCCGTCTTACTGATTGAAATCATACCTCACCAATTTTCCTCTGACATCATAGTGCAAAAACAAAAACCATATTTTGTACAGTCTAGCCAAGAACCAAGAACCATTCTTTGGTTAGCTGATAGCAAATTTTATTATGCCCTTAGAGAGACAAAAAAACCAGTAAAACATTTTTTGTAGACAGGCATATGTTTCATAAACTCCAAGAACGTCAGAGGCTCCGTCAAACTCCACATTAAAGTCTATCGATACCGATTTTATTTTTGAGTAGCTATTTGCAGCACAAGAATGCGCTTCAAAACATTAGACCATGTTCGCATAAGCCTTCCATTGGTTTAGGCAGTAACAAAGTTCAAATAAAGTAGACAGCTACCTACGCGTCAACAAAATTTCATAAATTTGATCCTGAATAACTCTGTTGTTTACCAATGGATTTAAACCACAATTTCAGATTATGGCATGACAAATTATGAAGCGAGTTTCATCAGCTTTGTGCAAGAGGGTGAGATTTAAACGCCGTACTAAAAAAAAACACCTCACTTTCAGAATGACGAAACAGCGCTGGAGACGGTGGTGGATTCGGGAGCGCGCGTGCTGCGGCTGAAGGCTTCTGGAGGAATGCAGGGTCAAGCCTAATGTCATTGCTCATTTCCTCGATCGTGTGTTGCGCCAACGATCGAGGAGGTTTTCAATGACATCAGGAATTATCCTGCTTTCCTTCAAAAGCTTCCGGCCGCAGCACGCGTCTTCGGCCACCGTCCCAAGCGCTGTGTCGACATAGGAGGTGGCCAAGTTGAAAGTGGCAGATTCTGAAAATGAGTATATGTTTTCGTATGGCGTTTAAATCTCATCCTCTTGCACAGAGCTGATGAAATTCGCATAACTAAATTGGTCATGCTTTTTTAAAATATTCCAAAATTTTGGTTTATTTTCATTGGTAAACAACATAGTTATTTAGGATCAAAAGTAGGAAATTTTTTTGTTGAGTGGCTGGTCACCACCTGCTCACAGTGTTAGAATTGTTCTATTTTTAAATTCTTTCTTTATTTTTCCTTAAAATAACTCTCTTCAAAATATTCACAGCTGCTTGAACATGAAGCATCAACCCTGATATACAGACTTTACAGTGGTGTGCATATTAACAAAATACACGACGACATCTACAGTATCAAGTTACAAGTAATTTTAGTTCAAAAATGGCCATGCTTCAACTATGAACACAATTAGCAATCACCTTCGTACATTATGTCTGATAGACCATACCTTGATAAGATCAAGTTGCGTGAGCTTTCATTGAAATTCCAGGTTGATACCAGAATGTTAAGCTATAGGGTGAATTTAAAATGAAGACAGAACCCTTTAAAATAAAGGAAACACCATTTTCTCCGAAACGGGTCAAGGCCAGGATGTAGATAAAGCCTGGTATAACCATAAACTCCTGACCGAAAGCGTTTACCATTTACTTCTGTTATTTGTTTCACTTTTTTTCATCCATTTTGACAGTTTATCGACACCTGTTGCAAGGTTTACATCCTTCAAACTGCCAGAAAGAACGACCGGATTTAAAAATAGGACCTCACGCACCCCCCTTTCCCCCCGTTCTGTCATGTTTTACCAATGATATTTATTTCTTACATCCGATAATCGCCTGTGCGCATGCGTGTGTTTTATGGATCCACGAGCGAACTTCTTTTTCTGAGGGGGGGGGGGGTTGTTTGTTTCCCCCTTTTTTGCGTTTATGATGTGCATGATGTGTTCAAACATGAGCAACGCTACAAGAGTTACATGGTCTTTAATGTAAACATCTGTATAGATGTACGTGTTTCAACATAACTGTAGATGACTCTCCTCCGACACTTGAACCCAGCTACTACATAGAAGTGTTCTCGGCGTTGTTGTGGCGCATTCGTTCAGTAGACATCAAGTTGAAAGCATCCAGTGCATTTTCCGCCTCCTGACTTTGCTTTGTTTCAAGTTTCGTTTCAACCTAAAATGTAAGCTTTAGATAAACGGGGCCAGATTTGATATGTCAGTTGCTTTGAAAGTAAAAACGTCCTGGTAATTGAATGTTTTCATTGTTAACGATGATTTGTCACGAATATACACGTTGATATGACAATGCGACAATTTCATGAAAAGTACAAATCGCGCAACAGCCGAATTAATCTGGGTGTGTCTGTCTGGGTGAGTTTGTCTTACATACGCAGTGTGGACTTCCGAACAAAAGACGTCCACATAATGTAGGTAGCACCGACGTTGTGTGGACTTGCCCCACGTCCACACAGTGTTTCCCCATTTCTGGAAAACAGGTTTAGAGGCATTTTTGGGTTAGGTTTATCTGTAGCAGAATGAAGAGAAACACTAAAGGGAATCATACACTCTAAAAAATAGTTGCTCAATATTGGGTAAAATTACTACCTTTTCGAGAGTAAAAAGGGAACATGGTCGTCAACTTGTGTACTTTTTTTTACACAACAGCTAAAGTGTAGAAAAGTACCCATTTCAGTGTAACTTTTACCCATAATTGTGTTACGTGTTTGCACAACAAAGTTGGGTAAGAAAGTTTACCCATGTGACGACCATGTTCCCTTTTTACTCAATTATTGGGTAAACTTTACCCAACCCTCCTTTTACCCAAGTGTTGTGTCAGTTTCTTACCCAGATATTGGGTTCTAATTTTTACCCTGCACTGTTGGGTTCTAAATTTACCCATCACTTGGGTTGTTTTTAAATTAGTTGTTGTGTACCTTTGTTATTGATCCTTGCGGTTTTATTCAACTTTGAACTCTGCAATGTGAATTGCATGCTAGAGACAGCAATCGCGAGGGATTTCAATAACTGAGTCCTGCAGGGTTGGAAAGTCAGTAAAATGAATAAGATGATATTTCCCCAAATATGGTGCTGATGCATGAGGACTATTACGAGGAACGTGGGCTAAATGATGGGCAGGGGTGTTAGAATTTCCCTCAATCAACTCATTCAAAAACAATTCCCCAAATGTCGGTCACTTTACTCCGTGTTTCTAGATCTGAGAACACTCACTATACGGTACATGAAACGCATGCATCATGTGCATGGAAACGTGGTTGGTAGAGCCGTGACGTCCATGTTGCAAATACATGTCTAAATAGTAAGCATGTCACTTCTCCAATCTCCCCGATATTAATCCTCATACATCAGCATCGCATTTGGAGGAAATAACACTGAAATTCATTTCACTGACTTACCTGGAACAAAGAAATCACGTCTTAAAAATCCCCAAATTGTTGAAGGTCTCACAAGCGGCTGCCATCTTGTACATGAGTGATGACGCGTGCACAATATTGGGTAAACGTTGTCACGTGCGTAGGTTTACCCCACACAGTGGTAACTTTTACTAATGTCGTGGTAAATTCTACTCTTCGACGTGTACAATGAAAGAATTGTTACACAGTGGTGGGGTAAATCCAGTTCTTTAACCCATCGCTTGGGTAATAATACCATGATTTTAACTGTTTGCCTGTGCTGCTGGGACTTGTAGTCAATGTTGGGTACTATTTTACCCTTTTCATGTGTAACACATTTGACACAAGTAGGAGGTACAAGCGAAATTTTCATTTTGCTCAATATTGGGCAGAAATGACACAATTTTTTTACACAACAGTTTTACACAACATAAATTTACACTTCTTTTTTTAGAGTGTAGAAAAAAAATTGGGTTGAAAGAGTTTTCACAGTTTGAGAAAAATGAGTTTTTTCACTGGTTTTTCTTAACTACACGAAAGCAATGGAAAGTCCACACTAGTCATGTGAAACAAGTAGGGGTGTGTGCGTGTGTGTGTGGGTGGGTGGGTGTGTTCTCGTGTAGTAAAGTTTTCGAGTTTGAAATTGAAGTTTCAAAATGCTCTTATTTTAACCAGAATTAATTTCCTGGGCTGAAATTTGGACTAAATATCCCTTTTCTAAAACTCTTCCATTTGCGACAAATCAACCTACCTTGGAAATTCCTAGTCTTTGAGTAAAATCCATATATCTATTTCGTGAAATTCTTGTGGAGACGTATTCATCTATAGAAATGTTCTTCTGGAGACGTATACAATCTTTTGTTCCCTATTGTGTTCATGTCTCCGTAAGGTAGTAAATTCCAGCACAAAGAAATGTCTCCACAGGAATACAAATTCCAGAATACATGTGTGGGTGTGTGTGTGTGTGTGTGTGGGGGGGGGGGGGTTACAACCATATCATTGCCAGTTTCTTACTGTCATTCATTTTCTCCCTCACTTTGTAGATCAGCCAGAATGAAGGTTTACATGTGCCTGCTTCTCCTGATGGTCGTTGGATGTGCCTTGTGTTTTGCAGAGAGTAAGTACCGTATATTTGTTTCATGTTCCAGAATATCCCGATATATTTGTTCAATGTTCCATTATCCCTACTGTTCCGACATAGAAGTATTCTTATAAGTTTTTACCACATTCGCACAGCCCTTTGGGCATGTCGTACATATGTCATGCTTGGAGTAAATATAGTTTGATTCGAGTTTTGATAATTATGATAGTCTATACGCACATTAAAATGAACGTTTAAGTTTCCAGGATAGAGGAGAAAACACGTTTGACTGATTTTTCCCCTAAACGTACGAAACTTGCATGTTCCAAGCCTTATTTATTAGTGTTAAACAAAATGTTCAATTTCTTTACAAATGTTCAACGCTATATGACACTTCAACTGCTATATGACAATTCAAACCTTTTTAATGTCATGCAGACTTTCTTGCCGAGAAGTTGATGCAAGAACTGGAATCTCGCGGGATACTGACCTTCAAGATTTGTAAGTTCTGTTGTCTTTCAAAATAAGTTTGTAATAAAAACTTGACGCAGGTTGGCACTATACGACATGAAACAAAACTTAGGCACAATATTATTGCTCACACGCGTTTGGGTTGCAAATGCATGCTGTCCCGGAGAATGCCGTTGTTTTTGTTGCAAATGTCAACGAAGTTTTGTTCATTTTCATGTAGAAGCTCTCATATTCACGACAATTTCCTTGCTAAATCAAAAAGGTTCTCTAATTGCATTGAAACATTAAATGTCGTTTGTGCACAGTGCACACAGTATTCTATTTTTTTTTAATGCATTCAAGGCGACATTTCCACTCTGTACCGTCTACTTGCAATGAAATATCTGACAATCATCAAATTAAGAACACAACATTAAGAACATTTTGTGTTTGTTCTACCACGGACCCTACACACAAGGATTAACGACTCTGCCAAACGCCTGGTTGTCTGATAACGGCCCGTACAGGTGGAAAATACCATGAATACTTGTCAACAAAGACCCCTGCGCGCGGCGGCTTTCAGATTTGCAGGGCTCTGCGCCCGATTTGGTGTCGAAGTCTGTCAAGCCAGCTAATTATATATTTTTGAATATTCATGAGTCTGCGTTTTTGGTCTTTATTATTGAATTCTGATAAGTGATAACGTAACCATGTTTACGCCGAGCAACAATATCTTTAGCTTTAAAATGAACTATGAAATGTCGCTTTTATTTCATCGGGTCGGGACCACATCCCTTAAAAAAAAAATTTAAATGAAAGCCTCATTAAAAACAGAATTTGGATAAACGGTGTTCTCCTCGAAATTTGACGGGTTTTTTTTTCCGGGTAAATACTTCATCTATGACGACAAAAACTGCACAATACCATCTGTTATATCCTGAAGTATTTATTTTTTAACAATTTTGCAACAAATATATCTTAAGGAGTAGTTTTGCTTACAGTTGTATGAATATTTCCGTTTTAGATGTCATGCAAAATAACCGACAAAATGGCACACCTGGGCATTTCGCGATTACAAGCCAATGACTGTTAATGCCTGTTATCACGCGTCTAACCAATAAGGCATGTCCGCTCAGTGCATTTTGTACTAGAGCTCAGAACAGTCGTTTATCCTTGTGTGTAGGATCCGTGGTTCTACTTCGTTTATAGGCAATCAATTGTTACCGTCAAATGGTTCATTTATAAATATCAACATTGATTATTCACACACTGAGTGTACAATTCTCCTTTCACTGGGCGTTGTTCTTGGCGTTTGCTGCTTGTTAGATCAGTTTTATTCTGTTGTTTGCCTTAATTTAAAAACTAAACAATCGTTTGCATTGTTTTGAATCGGAAGACAGTAAAACAAAAAATCTGAAAATCGAAAAGTGAATCTAAATAAATCTTCATTGGAAATGAAAACAAGATGTTTTGTTGTTTATTTGCGTTGTTAAACTTGGAATGGGCCCGTTTATTATTGGCTTTTCCGCTTAAAAAAAGCTTTTAGATTTCCCCCAATCCCATAGACTTTGCACATGTTTAATTCAGCCTAGTTTTGGTTAATTTCTGTTCACTCGGAATATGTTGAAATCTGAAAGCAAATAGCACAGAAAAAAGAATGCAAATATGTGAATCAATCATGTGAGTCCATTGAGGAAATTAAATTCGTGGTAAACCTTGTGATATTAAAGCTGTCTTCGACGATTTTGAATAAATGAATACCATTTGAAGTTGAACCAAATTATTTGTCATGCCAACGCTATTGCTAAACTTATGGAAGAGTTGTTGGGGACTAAATGTATTAATTTTCAAATAAAACTGGTTGAAAAAGATGGGTTTTAAATTGAACGACCTTTTAGGGGGGAGGGGGGTTTGAAATTTGCCGAAATCCGATATTCCATAGTTATATCTTTCCAAGATCATATTTCTGAGAAATAGCGATATCTGAAATTCGGAACTAGTCCCTACCGAACTCCAGAGGTGCCATCCTAGATGTTGAGATCCTGTCATAATTTATCACGGGATGACAACATCGTACACGTAAAACGTCGACATCCTGAGATAGTTTATCACGGGATGACGTCTATAACGACATGTTTTAAGAGGGATGCCAACATCCTCGGATAGATCTATCACGGGTAGCACAATCCTGAAAGTAGGATCCCGACATCGTGAGACAATAATATCACGGGATGACGACATCCTGAAAGTAGGGTGTCGACATCCCCAGATACCTTCCAATGCTGTTTAGTGGAGTTATGGGAAGCAATCCTACTTTCAGGATGTTGTCATCTCGTGATAAATGTTCTCAGGTTCTCGACATCCTATTCTTTTGGGATGTCTTTATCCCTAGATACATTATCTGAGGATGTCAACATCCTATTTTTACGATGTCATCATCTCGTGATAAAACATCCCAGGACGTTGACAAAAAAATACGTGTAGGATGTTGTCATCCCGTGAAAGGTTATCACAGCATCTCAATATCTTGAATGGCACCTCCTGAGCCATGTAAGTCCCTTTTCTTTGTGGTATAAAACGAAATAGTTGCAGGCTTTTACTTTATGGTAATTTATCCTGGATGCCTGTAAACGTTAAACATGGACAGTCTCTTTAAAGCTTCCTTCAACAGATTATCCACACAAATATTTCTCTACGAGTCATTCACTTCCATGTTGGTTTCTGTTTCAGCTTGCACAACTGATGCCGAATGTGATCCAATGTATTGTTCTAAACCTCCCGGTCACGATCAGGGCTTTTGCTGGTGGGTGGGAAAAGGACGCTAGGAATTCTGACAATCAACATGAATGAATTAAACCATGGTAAGCCCATCGTTATCAATTGATGAACTTTTCCCATCTTTTCTCTAAAGTAGGTCTAGCGTTGCAAAACCTCTCTCTTTACGACATTTAAATGCTAGTGTCTAAACGTTTGGTCCTCGTAAGTCCATCGTTAGTCCTTGAAGAAATCATGGTGTTTTTTTTCTTTTATTATCTCCATGCAGATCGTCAGTGGTTAACCGACAGCAAGGCTTTATTCTGATTCAATAAAAAGATTTGACATTAATTCATTTTTCTTCTTTCCTGGTAAGATTGTCTCATTTTTGTTAACAATACTGGGTCCGTGTTCCAGCCAGTTTTTTTCCATTGATTCCGTGACAGTGCTGTTCACGTCTGAAGTCTGCTCAATGTGAATTTAAAGAGTGATACTGAAATCAAAATGAAACAAAAAATATCTTTATTCGATCCGTCAATACAGACATATATTAACCGATCGGCACATTTGAATTGTTTACAGAACTTATAAAAGTCTACACTCTTCTCGTCATTTAAATGACACAAATTATGAGCTCGAGCACGGACTTAATAATTATTTTCATGTGATGTGTTTTAAAAAAAATCTATGTTCGTTATCTTAGTTTGTTCATGTCTGTAATGTTTTTGTTCTTTTGGGGTGCGTGGTTGTCATTATCTGTGATGATAGGTAAAATCCACTTTTAAAATATCCATGAATATTAATCCTGCATGTATCGTTGAAGCAGCGCTTGGATATGGGAACATTTTATGCATCCTAGGATATTTTGTTTGTGTGTAAAGGCTGCTCACTCTGAATTTAAAGAGCACTTTTGATATCAAAATGAAACGAAAATATATATAATCGATCCGTGAATACCGACATATATTAAACGATCGGCACATTTGATTTTTTTTTACAGAACGCATACAAATCTTAAAGATACATTCTTTGAGATTTGTATGCGTTCTGTAAATGGCACGAAAAGTGAGCTCGAATACGGACTTAATTATTATTTCCACTGTTTTGTGTCTTAAAACAATATACGTTTGTTCCTGTCTGTAATGTTTTTGTTCTTGGGCTTTTGGGGTATCGGTGTTGCGTGGTTATCATTATCCGTGATGATGGGTAAAATCCACTTTTAAAATATCCATTAATATTCTTCCTGCTTGTATCGTGTAAGCAGCGCTGGGATATGGAAACGTTTGCATCCAAGGATTTTTTTTTTTGTGGAAAGGGCGGAACACAAGCCGAGAAAAAACATGAGAAGGTTACTTTCTAAATTGGCACACTTCTTTGTCGTGATTTCAAATCAAAAAGACACTGAGGGTTAGCCACAAATGTTTCAGCTTTAAGGTTAGATTGGAATACTCGTTTATGTAATGTTTTTGGTCTTCTTGGTATTTTGGGTATTACATTGGTGCATGGTTATCATTATCCGTGATAATGGGTAAAATCCAATTTTATTTTACGCCCCAACTGTCACAACTCTAGATGGGGCCATTACCGTAAAGTTCAAGGGTGCACACAAGCTAAACTGGTTCTATAATACAGGAAGATGTTCACATGCGATCTTATTTTTCTCGCTGTTGACTAATATAAAGTCATACTATTCCTTTAAAAATGATTGTTGCCTTATCTTTTAAAACCTGCCATTTTGTTGTGTAAAATACTCAGCCATAAATTATGTACATCTTTGTTACAAAACACAGATAGGCTGTCCTTGATGGAATTTATTCTCATAACAGGTGTTTGTTCACTGTAAAAGAAGATCCAATTCTTCAAACAGGACTTTGAAATCATTCGTTATTAATTGAACGTAGGCTATCTCTCATCCTTTTTCATCCTTCGATGCTTTCTCTTTCGTAAACGTACTGTGAATGATACAACTTCTTGGCAAAATAAATTGACTCTTGCACGCAAAATAATTTATCAGTGTCCATGAATGAATTCTCTAGACGTCTGTCTGTCATAGTCATCCATGTTATTTGATTGTGTTTTCAAAATCCTGCCTCGTTTCTTCCATACTTGAAAACAAATAGAAACAAAATTGGTCATGAACAAGTAAAAGGGACGCCCTCTTTGTACACAATCCGTGTGTGGAGGAATGTGTGCATTATTTGTCATTGTATCATGACTTTCACCTAGTAAAGAAGTGCGTCTGATTGTGAGGATGTGCAAGCCTTTGCCGTCATTATACCGGTTCAAAGCCTGGATATAATAGTATGGTGTTCCATTGGGTTGGGAAAGCAATGGGAAGCTCAACCAATAGCAGGCCATGCTTTGAGAGAATGAGAACACGTTTCCTACAGAAAAAAAATATATATCACGTTTATCATAACAAATTCACGTGAAGCAACGTCCCAGTCCATTTTCTGATTGATGGTAATCGTACCTCAGTTTGTCCTCTCATATTTTAATGCAGAAAAGTAATGCTCCGAACAGTGTAGCCATCATTCTTTCCTTAGCTCAGTGCAGCATTTTATTTTCCCCATGTTAAGACAGAAAAGCAATCAAACATTTATTTTTCGATTTATAAACACATGTTGATGTCTCTTCTGATGTCCATCGATTCTCATGATAACGTTTTTGAGTCTGAGCTATATAGTGGCATAGCAAGCGATAGGGGGAGGGTAAGGGGGTATCCCACGCCCCCAATATTTTGTAACGGGTGCCTCTTTTTCACGAGTGCCGGGTTTTCTTTCACGAGCGCCTTTTTTTTCAGTGAGTGCCTATAATTTTTTGAAAGACGGCAATTGTTCCATCACGAAAAGCGCCACCTATTGTCCAATTGCGCCCATGATCGTCCGCTTTGAACAGCGCCCGCGAAAGGAGATGGCGTCCAAACAATATTTGCGTACTAGTGCTGTGTGTATTATGTTAGAATGTTTAGCATATGTTGCATAGACTGTATGGACGTTAGAGGCTCCGTCAAACTCCATACTGAAGTCTATACATGTAACTACTGATTAATTGTTTTTGTGAGAAGCTATAGTGCAACACCAGAAATGCGCTTCAAAAAGTTAGACCATGTTAGTCACGTATAAAATTCCATCGGCGCTATGGCCGACGCAGCAACAAGTTCAAATACAGTAAACAGCTACCAAACACATGTTTTCACGTGACTGGTCACCACCAGCTCACCGTTCTAGAATTGTTCGAATTTTAATTTCTTTCTTTCTTTCTTTCCTTTTCTGGACAATAATTCAATGCGAAGATTCTTCAAAAGTTGTCACAGCTGCTTGAACGTGAAACTTCAACCCTGATATACCGAGGTGTGCATATTACACTGATACACGGTGACATCATCAGTATCAAATTACCTTTTGTTTTAAATATATATATATTTCATTTTTTTTTTTTTTTTTTTTTTACTTTTACTGCCTTGGCTCATATGAAAATAAATGCCGGAAGTGGGCCATGGGACATCTAACTTTGATTTGTTTTTATTAATCAGATATCTCTAGAAAATAGGCAGAATATCCGGTGAGGCGTTATAAAAAAAGCATACTGTTTCGACATGGGGTACTCCTTTTCAGGGTGCGTTCAATTTTCCGAAATAGAAGCCCAATCATAATGGGATCACCTCGTTTCGTATGAAATCACACAAAATATTCTCTGACATTCCAAATCCATTATCTTCTTTCTATATTTCTTTTCCTGTCTTAATTGATTGAAATCATACCTCACCAATTTTCCTTTCACATCCGATGCAAGAACAAAAATCGTATTTTCTACAGTCCAGCCATGAACTACTCTTTCGTTATAGCTAAAGAGCAGAATTTTATAATTCCCAGGCAAAAACAAAAGAGCCATCAAATCATTTATTTTTAGATAGTATCTAAGCATATGTTGCATAAACTCCAGGCACGTCAGAGGCTCCGTCAAAAGCCATATTGAAGTCTACCGATACTGATTCTATTTTCGAGTAGGCATGTGCAGCGCCTGAATTGCGCTTCAACACGTTAGACCATGTCTGCCACGTGTAAACCTCCATTGGTAGAGGCTGCAACAAGGTTCAAATAAAGTTAAAAGCTACCAAATACGTGTTTTCGCTTAACCGGTCACCACCTGCTCACCATTAAGAATTGTTCGAGTTTTCTCTCTTTGATTCTTATCTGGACAGTATTAAATTCACCGTCAATCTTCTTCATATACTGAGGTTTATATGCATATTACAATGATGCCTGCGATGACATCATCAGTATCAAATTACAAGCGATTTTAGTTAAAGAATGACTACGTTCTTTTACTATTGTGTAGGCCTACTTACATTTGCGAAGAGCAATTAAACTGCGCCGTTTGTGATTCTTACACGGTTGACCAACCCTCGGACGGAACCTCTTGGCTCCTTAGATATCAGCAAGATTTGGTGCCAGTTCTTCTTTCTGCGATCTTTGTCTATCGTTTTCGTTCTAGATAATAATTATCCGCAACTGTTTTTTCAATAGGAAAACACATGAACTGAAACTCGGTGTGAACATGAACCCTGATTCCAAAATGAACATACTACAAGTGCGACCTTTACTTTCGGGGTTTTTGGAACTGCTAGGATAAATGAATTGAACTAGGGAAGGGGAGCATGTTCTATAATAAAAAACAATTTGGCCGCTTTTACACAAACGAAATCATGATGACGTCATCATTCGTTATGACGCCCCTAGTGACAAGCAAAAGAAACGTGCTTTTTGAATTTGAAAAGCCGCATTTCCCAAAATTTCGTTCTGATTGCCCAGAAACATTTTTTGCACATACACACAAAACATTAAAATGTTCTAGATGAAGAGTTCCTCAGAACGGAAGTAACTTTTTTGGAATTCGAAAAAGATCATCTTTTTTTCGTTCGCCTGATAGAGGATTCTTTTCTTTTCTATTCTTTTGTTCTCATTTCTGAAAGACCCTATTTTGGGCTCGCGACTTGAGGAAAAAAACCCGCATTTTGGTTTATTACCGCCTACGAGCGCTGTCTGGAACCCCACTTACAAAAAAAAAAATTAAAGAAAAAAAAACTGGACATAACATTCAGACAACCAAGTTCTCTGTTATTCGAAATCCATGGAAGATTGATATAATTATCCGAATTCGACTAGAAACACGGCGTGCAGCAATCAATGTAATCCCAGAAGAAGATGCGAGGGTGTTGTGTCTCATATCAGGCATCTATAGTTTACCTTTTGTGTTATGCAACAGCCAAAACGTCAGTGAGCTGCATGCTGCTGATATGCAAGTTAATATATACAGAGCTATATATTTTGCCAAAGACGGTTTCAGGAGGAGCTCACGATATTCTCATTGCAATCAACGAAATAGACAAAACGCACTTGGCACCATTTAATTTAGTCATCTAAACTGGTGCAACTGCAATGCTTTTCACAATGCTATCACATCATCAATTGTGAAGATAAATGTCAAAATATAAACAAAATGTTGGTGTAATATTTTTTCCCCTTTCCCCCTTGTTCTACTGCCTTTGCTCATATGAAAATATATGCCTGAACTGGGATATCTGAATGTCTATTTTGTTTTATTAATCAGCTTTCTCTAGAAAATAAGCAGAATATCTAGTTTTCTAATTATACAGGCTAACCAAGAACCATTCTTTCGTTAGTTAGGAACAGAATTTATTATGCCCATGCATTGACAAAAAAGCTATGCGTCATTTTTTTTTCCATTTCGGAACACAGTTGTTCAGATCCGGCTGTGTCTGTGACGGAGATTTTGTCGTCTATGGTTATTCCAATATTTCGATACTGAGGCTTGGACCTCAAGCAGAGCAGATATTTAGCTTATCCATGCCGCAAGGTACACAATGCAACATCATCAAACTGTTCGTGTCTAAAGGGATAGGTTCAGTCATCGTTACTTTAGATACAAGAATTATTCGAAATAAAATATTTTACTTCTGCCTTTCTG